ATGCTAGGGGGGGCTTCCCTGGTGGCGCAGTGGTTGAGAGTCCGCCTGCCGATGCAGGGGACGTGGGTTCGTGCCCCGGTCTGGGAAGATCCCACATGCCGTGGAGCGGCTGGGCCCGTGAGCCATGGCCGCTTAGCCTGCGCGTCCGGAGCCTGTGCTCCGCAATGGGAGAGGCCACAAAGTGAGAGGCCTGCATAACGCAAAAAAAAAAAAAAAAAAATCCCCAAAAAAAAAAAAAAAAAAAAAAAAATCAATGCTAGGGACTTCCCTGGTGGTGCAGCGGTTAAGAATCTGCCTTCCAACGCAGGGGATGCGGGTTCGATCCCTGGCCAGGGAACTAGATCCCACATGCATGCTGCAACTAAGAGTTATTTAGCATGCCGCAACTAAGACCTGGAGCAACCCCCCCCCCCAAAAAAAAAATCAGTGCTAAAATATACAGTAGAAAAATGCGCTGAGGGCATATATAGGCAATTGACAAAAGGGAAAATAAATATTTGAAAAAGATGTTTCACTTCAATAACAGAAAATGCAAATTAAATTAGCACCTATAAATTAAATTAGCACCTATCAAATAGCTAACTTTAGTAATGTTAATGGGAGAAGGGTTTTTCATTGATGCTGTCTCTAGGGTTAATTCACACAGTGTTTCAGGCAATAATGAATAATGAGGCCAATCTGGCCTCATTATCAAAGCTCTAAAATTTCTCATGCTGTTCGATCCAGCAGATAGCTGCCTTCCTAATCCTAAGGAAACATTCATGAGTGTGCACAACGATTTGGCAACAAGCATACCGATTACAGCTTCATTTATAAAAATAAACACTTGGAAGTAAATATCCAAAGAGAGAAGACAGGCCGAAATATTATGTCACAGATTGACAAAGGAATATGACACAGCCATTAAAATGATATTATATAATGATATGAATGGCATAGAAAGATTATTCCTCAAACATGGGTAAGTGATTAAAAATAATTTATAAAAGGGGTGCATAATGTGATGACCAAGAAATGACCAAGTGAAAAAGCTCTCAGGGTCCTTTAAATCTCCTTCCTCAGACTGAACATTCCTAATTCCTTCCGCCATTTCTCCTTGAATGGTGAGCAAACTTTCTAAAGTCAGAGTGGCCCTGGTGTGTAGGAAGCCTTGGGGAGCATCCTGGAAAATGCTCATGGGATACAGGTTCTAATTTCCAGACTTTCTTGGTAAGTCTCTGTGAATATGCCCTGCTTTGGCAACGCCCCCTTTAAAGCCCGGGTCTGGACAGCAACTTTTTATGTTTACAGGGATACTACGGGAACAATGAACAATCTTACCAAGGTGACAGTTCACTAGGTAGAGATGATGGGAAAGACATTCCAGGCAGAGAAACTAGAATATGCAAAGGCACAGAGACACAGCAGATTCTGGCATGTTCAGGGAATGGTGAGCAATTCTAGGTGGCTGGAAAGCTATTTGGAGTGATGGGGGAGCCTGGAGGTCGTAGCAGGTGAAACGATGAGGGAAGCCTTTCTAGATCAAGCTAAGGATTTGGGTCTTCTTCCTAGTCTTTGCCAGTCTGAAGCCTTGGGATGTTACACTGAGATCCGTGTTTTAGAAAGAGCACAACGGTGGCTATATACTGGAAGCCGGGGGATGGTTTAAGCAAAGGATACCATATGCTTAGTGAAGTCTTTAAATTTTAGGATCGGATGTGTTGCTGGTTTGCTTTTTAAGTAGTTTCTTCTGGTACTTTCTTTTTTATGTTTGCTCAGGATCTCTTGGTGGGCTCCAACAAACAATAGGACTGTGAGCCCACCCCAGGCAGAAAGAGGAAGATGGGTGGAGGTGGACAGAAAGCATTCATGTCTCCTGCTGTCATCCCATTCATGTTTTCCCTGACCCTGGGCTTGGACAGCTGCCAGGAGGTGGGCACCAGTTCCAGGGAAGGATGTGGCTCTGGGCTCAGGCCTCCTGGAGCCCTCTGCTCTGCGGTGGAGGCTGGAAGCTCTCAGCTTTTCCAGCAGCCTCAGAGGCTCTACCAGTGAGCCCGTGTCTGCCTCTGTAGGGCTGGGGTGGGTTCACTGGGGGAAGCAGGAGCAGACAGGAACTGAGAAGGAAGAATTGCCAGGTTCCTGTGAGGTCAACACATGTTTGAAACAAATCAGAACGAGAATGTAATTAGGTGATGTTTGGTTTTGTTTTTGTTTTAAAGGATAAATTCAGAACCTGTGACTCGTGTTCACGAGCACATGCCTGGATGCAGTCATTTTGAGTTTATGGAAAATGTGGTCAGCCCCATAAATCAGTGCTGAAGAATTCTTACAGAGTCATCCCTGTGCAAGGGAGTCAGGTCTGTAGCGAGTCTCCTAAGATTATGCAAAATAATACAGAGTAAGCATGTAATAATAAGCTACAGTATAGTCTTCTCTACTCCTGGAATTCTTTCCTGAGTTGCCATGAGGAAGCTGTGAATTTCTGTTCCTACCTAATCTGTGACCTTTCTTGTGTAACTCCATGTATACGTCTAGATGTCTGTGGCCATCACCATGACTACAAGGACACAGTTCTCTGCAACGATTCTCACATGTGTCTTAAACATTTTAGCAGGATTTCTATACAGAAAGCCCATTTAAAAGTAGGCTGAACAATCATAACTTGCAACACTGCTGAGAATACAGTCAAATGTATCCTAATTCTCAGCCCGCCTGTCCTTCGCACCTATTATTTGGTATGATTGGAAAATGAAAATTCAAGGAGGAATCGTATTTCTCAAAAGCACACAAGACATCTTCAACTGTGAAATACAAACTTTCATTCAGAATTAGTAAATAATAGATTCAATCTAGGTGTGATTCACTAGAAGAAATTCCATCCATTTTCATTTCATTCTTGTTGCATTTATCCCATCAGCCTTTTGCCCTCAAACAGTTTTGGTTCTTCTATCTTATATACCATAATATTTCTCTCTATCCTTCCTCTTTCCTACACTCCCTTCTCTGCTTGACCCAGTTTAGAAATGTGTTTCTGCCAAACCGGTCAGCGGAGAGTGGAATGTTAACAAATCTAAGTGATGTTTTTCAGTTGCTCTGAGAAGAATGGGCTTGTTCACTGGACTAGCATGTTCTATCACAAAAAACAGTACTGCTGAACACGAGTTTGGCTATCCTATTTTTTGTGTGTGTAATCTGTTAGATGAGTCTCATGCAGGCTAAAAAAAATTCTTAATTTTCCACAGAAACCGTATGCATAACTTATACGGCCAAATACCACCGAGTACAAAGTTGATGGCCTAGGCTCATTTCTGTGATCTGTAGAGTTTGTACTTTCAAATCTGCTATGGCAAATGTGTTCTTGTTGATGTGCACAGACAAAATACAAATTCCATGTGTCATGAGGGCCAAGCTGGCCCAGCATTTATATGGCCTGGGATTTTTTTTGTTTTTTTTTTTCCGGTACGCGGGCCTCTCACCGTTGCAGCCTCTCCCGTTGCGGAGCACAGGCTCCGGACGCGCAGGCTCGGCGGCCATGGCTCACGGGCCCAGCCGCTCCGCGGCATGTGGGATCCTCCCGGACCGGGGCACGAACCCATGTCCCCCGCATCGGCAGGCGGACTTTTAACCACTGCGCCACCAGGGAAACCCTGGGATTTTTTAAAATGTCATTCTTGCCTGTTGTCCCTGCCACAAACTGGAGCAGGAATAGCTAATTGGCTGCAGCCTGCACAGGCTATGAAACTTTAGACCAAATCCCCTCAGCCACAAGCCACCCATTGTCACCTGTCACCAGGTGCAAAGGAAGGGGGGCCTGCCTAACTGGCTCTGCTCTCATGTTTTATTAGTTGTGCCGTGTTGCAGAGTGGGCAGGGTAAAGATGTGGGTATATCTGACACACATCAATTGCAATATAGTTTGAATTTTTGCATCAGCCCTTCACAGACAGTAGAAAAGCACGAAGTAAATAATCCTAAGAATATTTGCCCTGACTAAGCATTACTGAGTGTTCAAACGTTAGGCCACATGCTTTACAAGCATCACCTTCCCCAACCTGCCACACTGTGGAGTGGTTATTACCAACTACTTTATAAAGATGAAGTTCAGAGAGAGCACGTGACTTGCCTAGTGTTTTCCAGGCAGGAAGGAAGCAAGATTCAAACCCAACTCTACCTGGTTTGAGAGGAGCCCCAAATTAGACACCTTGATTTGGCTTTGGGGTTCATGTGCTTGATTCCCAGAGCAGCGGATGCAAGATGCAGGTCGCGGGTAGTTGAGGGAGAATTTGGTCCCCAGCTTTGCTCTGTAGATTTTATGAAAGAGAGACTAACTCTTCCCGGAAGACATAGCAATGATGTGATTACAGCAGAATTGAGGTTGTTTCCAGCATTGTTGCTATCTGAACAGAACACAAGATTCAGCTTGTCTTGTCCTCTGTTTCCTCACTTACAAAATGAGGACTTTGGCTAGATGGTTTCTAAGGCCTCTGATGCCTCCTCCCTTTCTATCTCCTAGTTGAGACATCTGAGCTTGGCCCTGACAGTTTCAGGGCAAACCCTCACCAGGGTGGAAGGTCCTCCTGTGATCCTGGACCAGCTGGGCCCAATGCCTGCTGGAAGGTGGGGGAGTTTTCTGTCGCCCCTATTCCGTGGCTCCATCCTGTGGCCCTGGCGTCCTGCTTGTCACCACTGGCCAGTGTGGCTAAGAAGCAGCAGCCCTCTCCCCTCGAGCTACCTGAGTAAGAGCCAGTCCTGCTTTATTCACACACTGTACCTGTAAACTCAGAAGCTCAAGTCCTAGGACATTAAAGCTAAGCTCTTTCTGTCAAAATCCTTTTCAAAAAAGCAAGTCGAAACTCAAGGTCTTGTAAAAACCCAAGTTTTGAAAAGTAGTGTCTGATTTGTCACAACATGAAATCATAGCTGGATTCCTATATCTGGAGTTATTCTGGCTCAACAGTCAGAGAGAGAGAGAGAGAGAGTGCAAAAAGAACGCATGTGTGCGACCCCGTTAATGAATCCTACCGTGTCTCCTGGCTGTGGACGCATCACGGACACACGATCGTAGCCTTTCCTTAGCAGGACCCACAGGGCATCAAGTTTTCCCTGAAATACAACAAATGCACCAAGATTACATCTGAAACCAGACCAGGGGCCAGCACAGACAGGCAGAAACTTCCATGCTTCTTAAGTCATGTGAACCACACTTCACCGGCAATGCAGTTGCCATAGGATGTGACTCTCTAGTCCCTAAGTTCAAATGTGGGCCTCAGGAATGGGGGAGGAGGAGAGACACATCCCAGAGGACCCTGATGCTCGCGCAGGAGACATCTGCGACTTTAGTGCAGCCTCAGATTTGCAGACACGGGGGATTCATTCAGGCTCTCGGCTTTTGCCCTCATCATATTCCCAGGCAACTTCTCACACTGCAAGTCAATCTTTTCAACTTGCACTAAAGTTTTTTCTTCCCACTTAGTGTCCAGAGTTTACAAATGAAACAATGAGGACAGATTCAAGCAGGAAAGTGACTAAATAGAAGCATGGACAGGGTGAGACCAATGAAAGGCCCCTGGGGCACAGATCCATGGCTGTCCCTACGATGGGCTCTGGAATTCCAGGCTCGACGGACAAATGACCAAAGATCACCACAAATCACAACCCCCTTTGGAGTTGTAGGTGATTGGTTGAATCTGGAAGGAGTGAGCCTATGAGTGCTAAAGTTTTCACAGTATGTGGCAAAGGCAGTCTAACGTTCTAGCTCCCTAGACATGCTGAGCAGAGGCTGGTTTCTGCCACTGCAAACACTAACAGAAAAAAAAAAAGAGACATTTATTTAGCTTTGCTCTTATTGTTATTACTATCTTTTAATTTTTTGGCTGCGTTGGGTCTTTGTTGCTGCGTGCAGGCTTTCTCTAGTTGCCAAGAACGGGGGCTACTCTTCATTGTGGTGCATGGGCTTCTCATTGCGGTGGCTTCTCTTGTTGCAGAGCACGGGCTCTAGGGGTGCAGGCTTCAGCAGTTGTGGCATGTAGGCTCAGTAGTTGTGGCTCACGGGCTCTAGACCGCAGGCTCAGTAGTTGTGGTGCACGGGCTTAGTTGCTCCACGGCACGTGGGATCTTCCTGGACCAGGGATCAAACCCGTGTCCCCTGCACTGGCAGGCGGATTCTTAAAAACAGTGCCACCAGGGAAGTCCCAGCTTTGCTCTTATTATTAACCCTGGTTGGTGACTCCATCAACGGGCAGAAGTCACCTTTATTTTGTCTTATTTCCCTTCATCACTCTTGTGGTGACCAGGACAATCTGCCCTCCTCCACCTCCAAGGATGACATCCTAGTCTCTAGAACCTGTGAATGTGTTCCCTGTCATCACAAAAAGGGCTTGCAGATGTGATTAAGGATCTGGAGGTAGGGACATGATTCTGGATCATCGGGTGGACCCAATCTAACCATATGGGTCTTTAACAGAGGGAGGTAGGAGGGTCAGCGTCAGAGAAAGAGATGGGGCGACAGAAGCAGAGTGAATGTGATCCCATGTGAGAAGGATTCAACCCACTGTTGTTGGCTTTGGGGGGGAGAGGGGGCCATAAGCCAGTGAGTGTGGACAGCTTCTGGAATCTGGGTAAGACATGGAGATGGAATCTCTCCTAGGGCCTCCAG